CCGAGGCCATGGTTCGAGCTGAGTTGAAGCCGTCTGTGCCTGTGAATCAGAGGTTGGTGAAGGGTGCTGCTCGGCCAGCATCAGTCGGACGGACGATGCCTCGTGCTGCTGAGCATGAAAGTGGCCCGCCTGGCCTCCTTTCCTTGCTTCAGCGGACGTGTGATTTTGTCCTCGAACCCGGGCCTGTACCAATGTCGGAGCCGCCCACTCAGACGTCCGGTCGGTGCCAATTGGTTGTTCCCAATCTCCTGACCGACGCCTGCCAGTCCTGCCGTGCCGGCTTCGCGTCGGTCCAGAAGGTTTCCGAGCCCCTGAGCCAGAATTCACGGACGACAGAGTCGAGTCGCCACTGCGATTACGGACTCTTCTACGCTCTGCTGTTGGCGCCCGCGCTCGACGCCATCTACGAGGCCTGCCTGTTGCGTCTGCAGACGGAACCGGATGATCCTGTTCTTGGGTATTGTCTTTTGAGCCTCTTTTCTCCTCCTAGCAACCAAGACACACGATTTCCTATTGGCCCACACCGCCGGCTAGCTGGCCCCTTCTGAGAATCCAACATCTCGCCGTAGGGGGCAAGGGTCAAGGTCTCGTTTGCCCAACTTGGTCTCAGTGAAGTGGGGACCTGTTTGGCGACAGTATATTCAGTCCTGCGTCGTCTGCTCGACGATTCATGATGCTTTCTAGCATCGCATCTTTGTTTAGGCACATTATGACATTTCGTAGGCATTACACATTTTAAAAAAATGCCAAATGAAGAAGATCGCTTTGATCTCGAGGAGTCCGATCATTTGTTTGGAAGATGAGAGTGAGAAGGATCCATTTGGCATGAAGTAAAGCTGGGTTTCGAAGTCTTCCTTGGAGCTTGATGCTTATTTATCCTTCGTTTCTGTATGATAGACGAGCGAAAGGTATATTTCTGTCGGCCAGACCGAGGTCAAACCATCACTACTGATACGAAAAGTAACTGGGTTTCAAAGAATCTCGTAGTATGGCATTGTTGTCAAGACTTCTATTTCGCACGCAGGTGCACGAAGAAGAGCTTCGGAGGTCGATCTCGCCAAAATACCACGGTCAATTCTCGTTGTACTGAAGTCGTCTTGACTGCGTCAATCTGAATGTCGTATTGAGGCCAAACGGCTGTCATCTTTTGGTGAAATCCACCTTCGAATCCATTTTTTATGAACTTTTATACCAAGTGAAAATCTGCATGATATCACTAAAGAGATAAAGGCGACTGCGACAGCCTGAAATCATAACAGGTAAAAAATTAAACAAAGACTCAATCATCAGATTATTCATATGAGATGTATTCACCCTATTTCGTCTAAGGTGATAAAGGACTGGTAGTAGAATTTTCCCACAATGTAATGAGTAGAGCTGACGTTTTTCATTGAATTTCACATAGCTTTGCTTTCCCAAAAGGATAATAACAACTTTTGAGAAAGCAAGGCTATGTCAGCTCTACTTATATCATTGTGGGAAAATTCTACTACCAGTCCTTCATCACCTT